AGCGCCACCTAGCTTCTACATTTCTTCAATTCAACCATTTTAGAAAATGTTCTGTGAGCCCACCTCACAGGTTCTGAGTGGTGGAGGCTGGGAGAGAGTCAGAATCACCAAAAGGTTGTCAGAGGCAAAGGCATGTTCTCTGATTCTGTGCAAGGTTACGTAGGATTGACACCATTTCTCAATGCACTCACTGCCTGGTTTTGACAATCTCTTCATTTGAATTGATTGGGTAATAAGCAGGGAAGTAGCTTCCGAATTTTAGCTACTAGGTTCTAAATAGATGTGAATTCTGGGAAAATCTTTATAGGGCTCACACCACAAGACTACTCCCCCATAAGGGAAATGAAAATGTGTCATTCATAATATGCTACTTGTCATAGGATCATTTTGAGCTACCAACAATTGAGGAACCAAATCTCTCCTCTCCCCCCATTTTCCTAATTGCAGAACGTAAACTCTCCTTTATAATAATGTCTCCCTCTCACATACTGGGAAGATGAATCTAGCCTATAATAGAGATAAGAGATACCCTTGATAACTGCAGATGGTAGTCCTATTTCTCTCTAGTTTCATTTGCCCACAGTCAGCCGCAGTTCAAAATATTATGGAAGAGTTCAAACATAATTCATAACTTTTAGTTTTGTCTGTGTTAGCCTTCACTCACTGGGACAAAAATCACTAAGATAACTTAGAAGGGGAACTTATACTGGCTAGTGTTTTCAGAAGTTTAGGTTTATAGTTTTATTGTTTCTGGGCCTATAGTAATACAGAACATCAAGGCAGAAAGAAAAGTTAATCACCTCATGGTAACCAGGAAGTAGGTAAAGGCAGATGCAGAATGGGATATGTTGTAGCCTCTTCAAAATACACTCCTCTTCCAACGAGGCCCCATCACTGAACAGACAAGCCATTAAATTATGATCTCTTTAATGGGTAAATCCATAGAGCCCTCATGATCTGTCCACCCATTAATATCCCATCTATGAGAACTGCTAAATAGAAAATGCTTTAGGGAGACATTTCATATGCAAACCATAGCACACATCATTTGGATTGCATGAATAGACTCCAGGTCATCCGTTCTCCACAACTGAAGATGTGGATCTCCCCTTGTCCAAAGTACCTACACTGTGCACAATACCTGCATATTGGCACTTAGTATCTGTCACCTCTATACAATCACAATACTGGAATGTTTGTGCATAAATGCTTATTTTGCTTAGAATTGGCCACAAAGCACAAAAGCAATGGTGCTGGCATTTTATAACCATATATTATTATAATGTTTTCCCATTTGGCTGCCAATTATTATCAGTGAGTTTTTCCTGTACTCAATTTATTAGTTGAATTTATCTACTTCAGGCATGTATATGTAGAAAAACAGCATATGCAGCATTTAACACTACTCATGGATTCAGACATTCATTGGGGATATGAGAAGGCACACCCTATAGATAAAAGAAACTCCCACGCAATTATTGATTTGCCACTAACTCTCTTCATGCATGTACATTCCCACAATTTTTCACCCCAAAAGTCCAAACTCCCTTCCATTTATCCAGTCACTTCTCCACAATTTGTGGACCTTAATTAAAATGACGCATAAGCCCCAAAGTCTAACTACTTCTCTATATTTTATACTTCTTTTCCATATTTTATACTTCGTTTTGGTGAATCCCTGGTACATGTAAAAAATATTAAGATCAAATAAAATTTGTATGAGTTTCCTCTGTTAGTCTATCTTTCGCCCAATGTGAACCCGACTGCGAAACAAATCACCTTCAATCGGAGTCTGAGATTAGGAATCACTGGGTTACATCCACATCCGGTGAGGCAAACAGGTAGGTATACGCAGGGTGGTATATGGGCAGGCAGTGAGGAGGCCACGTCAACAGCAGGTGACATCAGGAACAGTCACATCCTCTACTTTTAAATCCTTGATGTGCACACCAGATACCAGATGACAGGTTGCTGTGGGACCATGCCTTCACAGTGTTAGGTGTCAGTCACTTTATAATGTCCAGGAGGAATAATGGCAGATGCCTGAACGATGCCCAGGAAAACAGAGATATGGCTGAATTGAATGATAAAAATAATTCAGGATTTGAAAAGTGAATTCAATAAAAAAAATAGAAACACTGAAGAGCTCTTAAGCTGAAGTGAAGATAAAATTGGAAAACTCAATAACCCAACTAGAAAACTCATGAAAAGACCTTTTGAGTAGAAGGGCTTTAGTAGAACATGGAATATCAGGACTGTAAGGTGAAACATAGGTATTAGACCTGTGGGTCACCATGAAAAGAACACATCTTCATATTATAGGTAATGAAGAAGAGAATCTGAGGTCAATGACATAGACCAGATGGTCAATGGTATCATAGAAGAACTCGATCCCCCCTTAAAAAAATTAAGGAAAGATAAACCCTCATAGATACAAGAAACACACCAAACAAACACCAAATGGACAGGTCCAGAAAAGAAACTCCTTTGTGGTATGTTATACCTAAAACACTAACCCTAAAGAATAAAGAAAGACTATTAACAACTGCAGTAGAAAAACCACAAGTCATATATGAAGAAAACCTCATCATAATAAGGACTTATTTCTCAATGCAAACTTTGAAGAGCCTAGATCAACGTCCTTCAATTTCTAAAAGACCACAAATGGCATCCTAGATGTCTGTACCCAATAATTCCATAATGGACAGAGAAAGAAAAATTTTCCATGATACAAACAGACTGAAAGAATTCATACCCACCAAATCAGTCAGTCATGATAGTGTACACCTTTAATCCCAGAACTTGAAAGACAGATCTCTGTAAGTACTTGGCCAACCAGGTCTACAGAGTGAGATCCTGTCACAAAAACCAAAACCCATTCATGGTGTTTAATACATGCTCTGTATGCAGCTAATAGTAAAGAAGGAAGTCCCATTGAAAACATTTCCACTTTATCACACACAAGTTAGTATTGTTGCAAAAGGATTAATTTCTTTACAAAAAACAGATTTTTTTTCAACAAGTGAATGTCACCTGTTCCTAACTGTTTTGTGTTCTCTGCTGCATGACTGCCTTATAACCCAACCCTGGAAGGAACAGAGGAGTCAAAACCAAAATATTTAAGATGCACTATGGGACTCCATCTGTTGAGGTGTTTAATTAAGCCGAAGCAAGAGTAGTACAGTGGGTGGGGGGTGGGGAGAAAGCCCAGGTTATAATGCACGCCCAGGGATAGCCTGACACAAGGGGATACCAGGATATGATGCAGCAGCCAAAACAAGGGAGGGAGGCGGGAAGCTGTGATTCAGCTACGAACTCCTCACCCTGGGAATCTACTTCTTATGAGTCTGCCCAAGATAATGATGATATAAAAATATATTGACACAATAGTCATTGAAGTGGGGTGTGTTTTTTTTTATCTTGTTTTCTTGTCTGCTGGCTAAACAGGAAGTTTTTTACAGGATGCTCCAATATCCTCTGTTCAGAGTAACAACTTTGGCACTTTGCTTTCCTCCTCTCCCAAGATACACTTAATGCTTCCGCTGCCAGGTCCTGGATTCAGCGGCAGATTTCCTGCAGGCAGCTAAGGTTCCTTAACTCTTTGTGCAGATGAATCGCAGTCCACAGGAAAAGTCACAAGAGGCCTTTTCTAGATAGAGTTAACGTACTGGCCTGCCTCGGGGGAAGTCAGACTTGGCAAGTTAATAAAACTGTCCAGTGACAGCAGTCATCAATGTCAACCTCGGTGACATCCACTGGAAATTGACACTTAAGGTTGCTTCTGGTGTCGAGGAAGAAGATGCAGGTCTCATTGTCATGGGGGTTAATTATGAGAGGACGCTCTTCCTCTGGGCCTTCCCTTGACACTGGGAAAGCATTCCCAGGGCTGCATGGTACTGTGTTCTAAAGTTGATGTTAAAAACTTTATTGAGTCAGTGAGAGCTGACCACATTGTGTCAACATTGACTGTTGGGGCAAAAAGGCCCTGGCTTGAAATCCCAGCACCCACACTGCTACTGCTGATGAAATCATTCTGTACATTGGGTTTCTCTGTTTCTTTCCCATTAGAATGGGAAGAATAATTGCATTTTGCTGCATCTCACAGTGTTTCCAATAAATATGGCAATCGCCTTTCATGTCCAGTTACATCTGTGGGACCTCACAGCCCAACAACTCAAAAGAGATAACCAGGATTCATTTTTCTGTAGCTTAAAACTTATATAAGGTTTGTTTTTCTTTTTAGTATATTAAGGGGGTCAGTACTTGTAAATTACTGAGCATGCCACCCATTAAAATCTAACTGATCATATTTTTATTACCATCTCATTGGGTTTTTTCAATCTGTAAGTATTGACAATAGAATATATAGATTACCTGATACCACTCTATAGAATATGATCCTGTAGGGAAAAGGGTTTTTCCAATCTTTTCCCCTTATCTTTTGTTCATAGAATGAAGCCTATTCATAAAGCACAGTAAACATTTGCTATATGGATGCATAAATTAATACCATCAGATAACTCCCCCACACTCTCTCTTGTGAAGTGAGAAATGGGATGAGATATAAACTTTTCAAATTAATCCCAGTAAGCAAGTGCATTTCAATAAAGCAGGATAGATTTGTCTCTCAATAAATGATGGAATGATGTAGCAAATAAGAACATAGGGTTTTGGGCAAGAAACTCTGTTTGCATTATGATTCTTCAACTGAAGAGACATTGATAGTCTTAATACATAAAGTTAAAATATGGATCATGACTTTTCATTTCACAATCATAAGATCATTAAAGAAGATAATGGGCATAATACAATATCTATCTAAAACCAAGACTGGGAGCTTAAAAAAAATGTTAAGTGGTTAAGATGTAATTGCCACTCTTCCACAGAACACAAGTTCGGATCCCAGCACCTATAACAGGTGGCACACAATAACTCCAGCTCCAGGGGATCCAACAACCTCTTCTGGACTCCAAGGGCAGACACACAGACACACAGACACATTTGCACAAATAAATAATAAATGTATTTTTTACAGTAAAAACAGTGGGGATAGGCTGAGTGTCTGAGAAAGCGCTGCTGCAGCTCTCAGAAACTCTGGTTGGAGTCTAGTCCTGGGAACATTACATACTGACTGGAGATGCTGAGAGAGCCCTCACCTCTCTCTATGTAAGGATCCACTTTATGGGATGAGCAGAAACACGCTGGCTACGTTGCCAGCAACAATGAACACAATAAACATCGTGTTTTGCTGTTACAAAGCAGTATCCATTTCCGAAGGAATGCTCTGGGAAAGACGACATCAGCAGAAACCTTTCTCCTTTTTTACTTTGATCCATTTGCATAATTTCCTTTGGCATGGTGTCAGACTTGAGGTATCTAAATTTTTATTCATCTAAAAACAAGTTCAGTGCTGTAACTACGATTATTGGTCATACTCCTGAACTTAAAAAGATCACCAACAACAACAACAATTTAAAAAAAAAGAAAATGTTTTGATGATTTTCACCGGAAATCTTGAAACTCTGCTTCTTGTCTTGACCTACCTTCCTGCCTCAGTAAAGGTTCTCATGAGACTCTTGGGAAAACAGAGTCAAACACACTTGGGAGTGAACTGAGCACCGGCTTCTGGAGGGAGGATGTTGTTTATATTTTAGATCCTGTTTTCATCCTGGATGAAGTGCGGCCGCTGTTACCAGGTGGTTCTCCTTGTGTTATCAAGGCTCAGTCTGCGGGCAGCAGCTTCCTGCAGCCTCCGTGTGAAACTGGATGCTGGAGAACTGGTGAGAGCCTGTCAAAGGTTATCTTCCACGAGGTCACAGCTCCCATGTGTACCAAGGCTGACGCTGGTTGGTAAGGCCATTTGAGTGATGGGCCATGGGACACAGGAAAGAAACGGGAGCTGTTGCTGGAAGAAAAATGGGAAGGAAAAAAATCGCATGAGTTGGGCACCTGAGATGGAAAAAAGAATTCCCCATCACAGGTTGCAGAAACCAATTAAAGTGACTCTGAGAGCAGTAACAATGACACTCCATAAAGTGATTTCAAAATTGCTTCATAGGTATCTGATCGTTATCATGCTGCTCCCCAAAACAACACACTAAGATACCCAGAGCAAATTACTTTTAATTCATAGTTCAAAAGAAAATGTCTCCTCCTCCAATAATTACTCGATGCCCAAATAGGCACAGGGGACCAATTTTGCTCCAAGATTCAATGACAACTGATTAGGTAATCAGAACATGAGGCTGCTTCGTTATGCACCTACACCCCAGCTCAGGGCTGCCATGACACACAGCCTAGAAGATCCTCTGCCTAGTTCACTCTCACACTGGGGAGCTCACAGCAGTAAGAGTGAGGTAAGCTGAGTTCCTGTAACATACTTTGATGCCTGCTAGCAGCAACAACAACAAAAAAGGCAGCTTGTCTCAGAGGTCAAGTCTTAAGGAAATGCATTGCATTACCAAGGATGTATCCTCTGGATTATTAGTTATTGACGGTAAAGCAAAGACTTGATTTAGGAATTGGGAAAATAACACCAGCTATGCTTCCTCTAAACCAGGCTTAGCTGCTTCCTCTTTGCTACTCATGACTTCCTTCCGGTGACAGGGGGTCTGCAGCAAGGACTCCGAAGTTCCCAGGCAGACTCATTCCACCCCAGAAAGTTCACGGACTGTAAGGGCGAATCTCAGTCATCGCCAGAGCAGTGTGAACAGTAGTTCTTCCCGTTTTGACCAACTAGAGGGGAAAACCAGGTAAAAGGGTGTTCAACGCAGAGGTTCCATTTCCTAGAATTATTTTTGGGAGTAGTTTTTATAGATTTCAGAAAATAGACTTTCAAAAAACACAAAGAATTGATTTTAAACTGAATTGGATTTCCTGGACTCATGTTAAAAATCTTTTCCGAAATCCCTAAGGGTGATTACTTTTCAGTACCAGGAAAAAAATAAGAAATTTCTAGATTAAAAGGGAATTTGGACCCCTTCCTGCTCAGCTAGAACTGAAATACATCTAAGGAGAGTGGTGCTTTGAATAAAGACCTTTCAAAAGTAGTCAAGAAAAATCTAGTTTATTAAAAGGCAAGTAAGTCCTACTGTTCCACACTTACAGATTTATTCCTTTGACTTGGGGTGCATTTTTAAAAATTGAGTGCCTAAAATCTACAGGGTTGGTGCTAAAAAGCTATACATAAATATTAAAGAAGCAGCCTGTCCCCAGAATATCAAGTCAGTCCTAAGAAGTCATTGCATTGTTAAAGTTGAAAGTTACACATACACACAAGCCACACACCCCTAAACACACACACATACACACACACACACACACACACACACACACACACACACACACACACAAGCAAAAGTTATCCTGAAGGTTTTGAGACATCAACGTTACATTGTATAAACCACAAAGTTAAATTTTTAAATCCATGAGATGGGAGAGAGAGAGAGAGAGAGAGAGAGAGAGAGAGAGAGAGAGAGAGAGAGAGAGAGAGAGAGAGAGAGAGAGAGCTTCATAAAAAATTGTTGCTAATAGTGGGGAGATGGCAAAGCAAATAAAGGGCTTATCAGACAATCGTGAGGGTTGGAGCTTGATCTGAGAGAATCCACACCAAAAAAAGTCAGCACAGCCGTACACACCGGCAATCTCAGCTTTTAGGGATTTGCTGGCAAAATGGTCCAGCTAAATCAGCAACTCCAGGTTCAGTGAGAGGCCCTGCCTCAAAATATTAAGTGGGGTGTGATCTCTGGACTCCACACGTATAAACACACATACATGAACATGTTTACATACATACACAGACACACATACAGAAAGACACAGACAGACAGACAGACACACACACACACACAGAATTGTAAAATAAATGCAGAGGATAAATGAGTCTTAAAATTTGCTTTGGCACCCACCACAATAATAATACTTATAAAAGTGGATTACAGTGGATGCTAAAACCACACTGGAAAAATTTGATGAGAAACAAAAAATAATAATCACACAAACTCAAAGCAATTTTCCTGCATGATGCTTATTTAGAAAATGGGAAATAAGGCAATCAACAGTGAGAAAAAAAATGATATGCCACCCTAAGCAAACAGATGAAAAGTATCAAAAGTGATAATGAAGCTAAGAGCAGTGCCTCTTGGTAGGATGTACACACCATGTGCCTAAAATGCATGTGTAAATGCAAACATCATACAGCTTGAACTGAGATATAATGTGTAAAATAAATTATCTGTATGTATCCAAAGTGTCAAGGTAATGAGCAATAAAAAAAGCTGAAGAATTATTTTATAGTAAAATAAAGAGACTTAGCAAATGACCATAATACGTGATTCAGGTAGGATGCCAAACTAGAATTTATTTTCCTCTTTTGCAATAGATAATATTATTGGGAAAAATAATGAAATTTTAAGACCTATTGAATAGATCAGGGACTGAAAACATTTCCTCTAGATCAGATAGTAAATCTTTTCAGTTCTGCAGACCAAAAAGTGTTTGTCAAAGCCATTTAATTCTGCTATCCTAAGAAAAGACTGTCATAGACAACCTGTAAACAAATGCACATGGCTGTGTACTAATAAAGCTTTACTTACAAACAAACAAGAAGCAGTCATTGACGAACAGTCATAAATACAGCATAGATGTGCTTCAATAAATCTACAAACCAGATGGTAAGCCAGGTATATTTGCCAACCGCTAGACTAAATGCTACTATTAAATGAATGTTAATTACCAAATTTTTAACTGCAGTGTAATTTTTTAGAAAACATGTACAAAAACATTTGGGGACAAAAGATGCATTTGCGACTTCCAAAGATTTCAGAGAAAGAGAAGACAAATAAATGCTTGTAAAATTCTAATATCCCTAATGGATATTACTGTTTTATTTGTCTTCGAGTCTGAAAAAGTTACCCCAAAAAGGACTTTACATGTCAAAGGGCACAAATATCCATGAGTTATGGTCATTGCTTGGTACATACCCACTATTAGCCAGACATGCAGAATGTTCTCAGGGACAATTTGACTAGCAATGTTGTTCATCGGGCAATTTGTTTATTAGGTGTTTACTGAATGTGGAACACCCAAGAAAACCATACTTTACAAAGCTGAGGAAATGAATTGTGGAAGAAACCCACTTACCTGGAATACAAGGAGTGTTTGAGAAGTAGGGGAATGGCTGAAGTGACAAGACGAAAATGACAGCTGAGGGAGAAAATGGGACAGTCCCCTCTGGGCTATCTACCTTGCACAGACCAACTTATGTAAAACTTATTTTGACTTTTTCACAGGAAAAAAACTTTAAATAATGCCCTAGAAGCAAAATTGTATTTTTATATATTCTCGCCACTATAAAGTGTGTGCAAAATGCCTAACTCTGCAGGCAAATTGCCTCTACAATTTTTTTCTTTTCACTCATGACCTTGGGGCAGTCTAGGCCTTTCAATATCTGTAGGAATAAACACAAAGATTGCCAAGCATTGAAACTATAATCTTTACTAGGGAGGTAGGTAGGTAGGTAGGTAGATAGATAGATAGATAGATAGATAGATAGATAGATAGATATAGATGATAGATGAATAGATAGTTATGATAGCTAGATGATAAAGTAGCTTTTGTTTAGTAAAACCCGTGCAGTATTCCATCAAAACCACTATTAAAATGGAGTAGAATTGAATATGCACCCAGGCTTCTGCATGACACATGATGAATAAGCTAATTAGGGCATCCGTTTGCCTGGTCTAGACCTGTGCAGATCCTGTTAATACCTCAGTTAATTTTGCCACTAAATCTCTAGTCCTTAAAAAACGCTTCACAAAATTATTTTCTTTGTGGCAGAAATGATGGCTAATGTTGACTATATTGTTTTTGCTTAATTGGAGGGATTAAAGGGGTAAGGGCATTTGTTGTTTTTTTTTAATTTTGAAGTTTTTTGACAATTTCATACATGAGTACTGTATTTACATTATTTCCACCCTATCCTCTCCCCTTTCCAACTCCTCCTGTTTCCGTATTTGTAGTCAAATTCTTTTTCAAGTAATACATATATTTGTTTCTATGTATTTATATACAACTTTAATATAAATATATGTGTATATATCAAGTAAATGCACAAATACACTTCAAGTATATATGTATATACATGCATCGCTACATTTTGCTGAGTCCATTTCGCGTTGTTTGTAGGCATTTGCATTTAGGAATGACGGCGTGAGATTGTGTAACTTACTAAAGATCCTGTCTCAGCTACCGAATGCCCGTAGCTCTTCTTCTAGGGGTGGGGCCTTGTGATGGTTCTCCCCACTCATGCTGTCATGTCAACTGGTGTTGTCACTCTGTTAGCCTTGTTTAGGCAGCCGTGTTGTCTTGATTCCATGGTTGTAGCTTCCACGCCATCAGGGGTCCTAGTCCTTTGGCTCTTACACTAGCTCCATTTCCCTGAGCGTCCATTCTAAGGGTTGTGTTGTAGATGCTTCAGTTGATATTATGCACCCGGTGGTCCGCTGTTCTCTGCATTTGACCCTCTGTGGATTTCTTTAGTAGTCTCCATCTGCTACAAAAAGAGTATTCGATGATGGGTGAGAGATGCAGCTAAAAATTATATTAGTTTAAGACAGTGGTAGCCATAGGTTTTCCGTTAGTATCCATGGCCTTAATTCCCACAGGTAGTTAGCTATGTTTACAAATCCAGACGTGAATTATTACCTCTTGAGTGAACCTTAAGTCCAATGAGATAGCTATTGGTTACCCCATGACGTAAGTACCACTACTGCACCACTGGTGATGTCTCATCAAGCTGGCTTCGGATTTAAGTAGACAACCTGAAGCAACTGCAGAACTAAGTCAAAAAAGACCATGACGGAAGAGAAGCTTAAGAGGGGGCGTATCAGGACACAGGAGCTATGAAAGGAGAAATAGGTGGGAAACTTCAACTCTAAGGTGGGGGAGAAAGGGTAATACAGAGGAAGAGATGAACAATAAATAACACTAAGAATATTTGAAAAGATCATAGAGAAAGAGTATATTATTTTTTGATTTTACGAGACAGGGTTTCTCTGTATTGTTTTGGAGGCTGTTGGTCCAGCCTGGCCTCGAACTCACGGAGATCCGCCTGCCTCTGCCTCCCGAGTGCTGGGATTAAAGGCGTGCGCACCACCACCCGGCGAGAAAGAGTATTTTATGTTTACTTAAAAACGCATAGGGTGTTTGTGTGTGTGTGTGTGTAAAACTGTACCTCTTGAAGTGACAATGCCCTTGTGAAAGTCAGAAAGACTATCTAACACAGACCCCAATATCAGGCACAGGAAACCTCCCTTTAAGTTTTTGATCAGGGCAGTCGAAGAGATTCCTCAAACAATACAGGTTATTGCCTTTGCCCTTAATTGCCTCCCAGAACTTGACATTAAGACCCCATTGCTGAATATGCCACACACTTCAGACACAGGACTTGGAGGAATCAAATTGGAACTGACCTTGAAGCTTCCTGCTTGAGGACTGGCTCTCCCCGCATCCAAAGGTGCTATGCCAGCTTCTAGAGAGTCAATAGTCCCAGCCAGCTGCAAAGCCTACAGGTCACAACAATGGCCAGCTCTGCTTTTTATTCTTAATTGTGAGTGAGTTTGGAAAAGTACTCAACAACAGGTAAACAGAACACCCCTCTTAAAATCAACATGCTCTAAGAGAAAAACATCTCCTCAAAAAAGAAGTTAATAAATTTCTGACATTCCAAGGTGTGAAAGGAAGCAATCTGACGTCTGCAAGCCGGAAAAAAAACAGGTTCTTGGCCCTGGCTTCTCCTATACACAGAGGTCATCAAGAACATTATCAGAACTCCAAAATTAAATTAAATCAAAATGCTATTTTAAATTATATCCTGCATCCCAAAACTGCAAAATGGCTCATGAAAATGCATGCATTTTCTCTCGCTTGCTTGAAAGTCTTGGATAAGAGGCTTGTTGAACTCAGACAAACACTAAAACCCCCTAATAAATGTATTTGCAAGTTTGTGAAATCTAATTGCATTACATAATAAGTAAGAGATCATCAAGAAATTGGAAATAGAGTTATTTTACAAAGCTTAATATCCATAGGTTAGCTTGTCAGATTGTGACCATAGAGAATGGAGTCTTAAAATACAGACTGTGTTTCTGTCATCATCTCATCACATCAGAATGACTTAGATGTGATTCATTTATCATTTCTGCATAATTCAGCCTGAAATAACCAGGCAGATTTTGGGTGTTCTGATGAGGAAAGCAAGGATGACCATCTCTTTCATAGATTACCTGGTTCACTGGCTGTATGCTTGCTGTTACTTTATGAATGCAGACACCCTTGAGGAGTGAGTCAGAATTTACTGAGAATAGGCTTCCTTGGAAACTCACCTTCTTTGTAAAGAGATGACGGTAAAACATCAATACTTAATGAAGAGCAGGAACACATGAAGGAAGATGTTGGATGGTGGGGCTGCAAAATGTTCCTAATGGCCTGTCTTTGCCTGTGTCCCCAAAAAGCAGCTCAAGATATGAGCGTGCTGATGAAATGTGGGCAATCGTTATCACTGCTTTTTTAATACTGACCGAATCTTTCCTTCATTAGCTAAGCGTAGAAATGATAAGAAACCTCTCAAAAAGTTTTCATTTAAAGAAGTCCCAAGGAAAACCCCACTCTTTCATCTCAGCACCCCAATATTTTAGCTCTACCCCTTGAGGAAATGCTTATCTTACCATAAAGCCAGTTATTTTTTCCATAATGTATAATGTAACGAAGACATAGGAATGCAAGTTACTTCTTTCTTTAACAAAAAATACATCCAAAGCAAAAGAAATAGATGGATGGGGTGTCAGTGCCCATTTAGTCTCCTGAAAACCCCTCCTCTAGGAAGAGTTTACAAATAGGAAGCAGGACAGGACCAGCCCCGGTCTTCTTGTTTCAAGGACCTGCGTCAACTCAGGATTGTGTTCATACTGAAGATGAGAAAGGGAAATAAGCAACTTTTTCTCCTCCTGGGTGAACCCAGTGCTGAGCCCTGTATCCCAAGCTCCTCCAACCCCCACGCAGCACTGTGAGATGAGCGCTACCATCCCACTAACAGAACTGGACAGCTGTCCCGGCTCTCGGTGTCTGTCCTGATAGCTCCAAAGCCTGCCTAGAAGCAGGCTGCAGAAAGAGATGTCCAATGAGAAACAAAACAAGCAGAAACCACAATGGGAAAAAGGGGGGCTGGCTACTTAAAAACTAAGAAAAAAATAAATCGGGCAAAAACAAAAACCAACAAACAAGACTCATGTCTTGAGTCTGAAAGACAATCTAGAAAGATATGTATAGATATAAAAGCAATAAGTAAATAAAAAAATAACAGCAATAGAAAAATAGTTGAAGATACCATATAGGAAAAAACTAAAATGAAAAATAAGCACCTCATTAAAGACTGATGTGAGTAGTTGAGAAACATATTGAAGGACGCACATACTAGACAATGACGATGCTAGGGCAATATTAGTAAAACAAACTCTCTAGTTGCAAGGGTTTGAGAACATGGAAACTTTTACCTGTTTGTGGAGGCCCTACAAACTGCTTATCTTTCTGAAGATGGGTCACTATTGTTCATACATTGTTTACTGGAAAATTCCTATGACTGTCAATGTCGTAACAAAAGTCATACGTATGTGAAGTGACCAATACATTAGTCTGACTTGACAACTTCACAATTATCAAAATTATCATGCTACACACTACAAATTTAGACAAATTTCACTTATCAACTCTATTTTAATAAAAATATTTAATGTGTCTATCCTGGGCCAGCAGCTTGACATTTAGGATCTAATCTGAAAGTTATGTAATAGAAAGTTTCACTGAGAAAATGGCATTAAAAAAAAAAACATGCCATGGATGCTGGAGAGATGGCTCAGAGGTTAAGAGAAGGCGCTGCTCTTGCAGAGGACCTGAGTTCAGTTCTCGGCACCCACGTCAGACAACCTAAAACTGCCTGTACTGCTAATTTCATGGAATCTGGTACCCTCTTCTGGCCTCCCTAGACACCATACACACACACACACACACACACACACACACACACACACACACACACACACACTGAAATAAATGTTTGTTAAGTCAATTTTTAAAGAAAATTAGTAGCAACAACCCTGATAACATTCTAAAATTAGCAGTAAGCAACTAAGTGCTTTATGACTGGATTCTCCTGTTGAATAAGATGCCAGGCCCCTGTATATTGTTCACACCCTTGTTTATGGTTTTCTATTCTATTTGGTATTCCAGAAAGGAGAAAATAAAGCCACATTTTTCAAGCCTTTAATATACCTAGACTTTTCCAGTTTTCCAAATGCTTTCCCATAACAGAAACTAAATGTCTTGCCTGATGAGCTACATTTTTATGATCTCATGTGAAAAAGCAAAAATGACTTTTTCCTATGAATACCGTTTGATTGATTGATTGATTGATTAACTAATTGATTGATTGGTTAGGTGATTGACTGGTTGGTTGGTTGGTTGGTTGCTTGTTAGTATTGGAGATGGCCCAGGGCCTCACATGTTCTAGACAAACACTCCATCATTAAACTAGCCTAAGTCCCACCTGTGAACTCTTTCTCTATTTTTTTTATTGAAAATGGATTTTTCTCATACAATATATTCTGATGATTTCTCCTCTCCCCCAGCTCTTCCCAGATGCTCCCCACCTCTCCATCTATGCCAATCCACGCCTTTTCATTCTCTCTCTCATTAGAAAATAAGCAGGCTTCTAAGAAATAATAATAAAAATGATAAGACAAAAACAGACTGGGATAGAATAAAACAAGCAAACAGAAGAAAAGAGTCAAAGAAAAATGCACAATAAAGGCATATGGACTCAGAGTCACACACATTCACACAAACAGAAATCCCATAAAAACACAAAATCAAAGCCATAATATATACACAAAGGACCTGTAAGGAAAAGTGCCCTGACAAAGCATTATGAGACAAAGAACTTCCAAAAATGCCATAGAGTTCATTTTGTGTTGACCATCTTCCGCTGGGCAGGGGTCTTGACCATTTACTACTGGGCATAGTCTTGGTCTTAAGAGTGGTTTGTATACCTAGTGAGACTCCACTGGAGAAAACTAAGTTTTCATTTGCAAGTAGTTATCAGTTGGAGACAGCTTCTGGGTTAGGGATGGGGGAGGATGTCCCCTTCTTTCATTCTAGGACCCCCACCTGGTGCATCTCTGTGGATGCTGCCACAGTCTCTGTGAGTTCATATGTGGCAGTCCTGATGTCCTTAGAAGACCTTGTTTCCTTGATGTCCTCCATCCTGCCATTTCTGATAATCTTTCTGCCTCCACTTCCACAGGGTTCCCTGATCCCTAAAGGGAAGGGTTTTAAAGGGAGGGATTTAATGGAGACATCCCATTTAGAACTGAGTCTCTCTCTCTCTCTCTCTCTCTCTCTCTCTCTCTCTCTCTCTCTCTCTCTCTCTCTCTCTCTCTCCTCCCTCCCTCCCTCCCTCCCTCCCTCCCTCCCTCCCTCCCTCTCTCTCTGCACCGTGTT